TACCCAAAGAACTTGTCCTGTTGCAGAGACACTTGTACATCCATGTTTATTTTTATTTTTATTTTATGTGTACACATGTATTCTCTGCATGTAGGTAAGTGTGCCTGTGCAATGCCCTCAGAGGACAGAAGAGGCTGTCGGATCCCCTGGAACTGGAGTTATAGACAGTTGTTAGCAGCCATGTGGGTGCTGGGATCTGAACCCAGGTCTTCTGCAAGAGCAACCAGTGTTTTTAACCGCTGAACCATCTCTCCAGCCCCCCAAAATTTAAATTTTACGTGTATGAGTATTATGCCTGTATTTAAGTGCGCCTGTGCCATGCAATGCTCTTGGAGGACAGAAAAAAGCGTTGGATCCCCTGGAACTGGAGTTATGGATGATTGTTAGCGACCATGTGGGTGCTAGGATTTGAACCCAGTGCCCTTAACCACTAAGCCACCTCTCCAGCTCCTATTTTAATTTTTAAATATGTGTATATGTGCATGTCTGTGTGGGGGTTTATGTACCTGAATACAGGTGCTGACAGAGGCTAGAGACATCAGAGGCCCCGAAGCTGGAGTTACAGGTGGTTGTGAGCCACCCAATGTGGGCTCTGGGAACTGTGCTGAGGTCCTCTGAAAGAGCAGTGTGTGCTCTTAATTGCTGAGCCGTCTCCTTAGCCTCTCTTTTTGATTTTTAAAAATGTAAAAACTGGGACTGGAGAGATGGCTCAGTGGTTAAGAGCACTGGGTGCTCTTGCAGAGGACCTGGGTTCAATTTCCAACGCCCATATGGCAGCTGACGACCATCCGTAACTCCAGTTCCAGGGGATCTGATATCCTCTTCTGACTTCCTCAGGCATTGAAAGACATGGGTGAACTTACATACATGTAGGCATAACATTCATACACATAAATTAAAAATAAATAAATAATTAAAAATAAAAAAGAAAGAACGATATTTTCTGCCACATGAAACTAAAACAGAATTCAAATTACAATGGTCTATTAAGATGACTGCATGGACTCGGGATGGAGCTCAGTGGTAGAGCACTTGTCTAGCATGCATGAGGCCCTAGCTCCTTCCTCAGTACACCCCTGACCACACACACATCTGGAGGGTGGTCACGTACATCCTGTAGGTATTCCCTACAGATGTTTTTGCACTACAATGCAGAGTTGAGTATTTGGGACAGAAATGGTCACAAAACCATGTTCTACAGCATCATAGCGCTCACCGTGAACCTTGCAAGATATCTGAACAGCCTCACACTTTGCACGTTACTTTCGGTGTCTGTAGGTGACAACAAAAGCAACTTGAAGAAAGAATGAGCCCATTTGGCTCATAGTTTCAGAGTTTTGTCCACCGTGGCCCACAGGCCATGGAGCAGCAGAGTGGTTCGTGGAAGCAGAGAAAGGAGAATGCCTGCCCTCCAAGGCTTTCTCCTTATCCCTTTGCAAGGTCCTCAGGCCTGGAGATGGTGCCCCACCCTTTTCAGGGTGGGTCTTCCCTTTAGTCACCATAGAGGGTCAGAAGAGCATTGTCCCATAGCTCAGGCCTCCTCTGCTACCTGGGAAAATCGAACATTTGCAAAGCGAAAGTATTCTATGTTGAATAATTCAGATTTGTGCACTTTTTTTAGTATTTCCCATTCTAACACTAGTAACACTGAAAGATCGTTTCAGCTCCCAAACTGCAGGGATAGTGTTGAAATCATTACTATGAGAAATAACTTTTTTTTGAAATATAGGATTCAAGATGTGTCCCAAATGATGTATTATCAACTCTAAAGTCACCTAAATTCTAAATAACAAGCAAATACCATTGTTTTAAATGTGAATACTTCAACTTAAGGATTGTAGTAAGGAGTCAACAATTTTCAGGACAGAGAATGCCTTTAGTACTCTCTTTTAAATAAACTAGGGTCCAAGTCTCTCCCTAGTTCCAGATGCCAGTGAAGACACAGAAACTATTTTTAAACCAACCAGCAGCAGAACATGTCTGAGATTGCATCCCTTCCCTTCCCTTCCTTCCCTTCCCTCCCTCCCCTTTCTTTTCTTTTTTGTTTTGTTTTGTTTCTGTTTTTCAGAATCTTATTTAGCCCAAGCAGACCTCAAACTCTTCATCTCTCTGCCTCAGTCTCTATTGAGTGATGGGCTCATAGATACGGGACATCAAACCTGGCTCTAAGATTAGGTTTCATTTGCTCTAATATGTTGATGAGAGAGAGAGAGAGAGAGAGAGAGAGAGAGAGAGAGAGAGAGAGAGAGAGAGAGTGTCTGGAAGAAGAGATAGAGAGAGAGAGAGAGAGAGAGAGAGAGAGAGAGAGAGAGAATCTGGAGGAAATTTGAGATGCTATCTAGTTCCATCTCTTGATGACAGGGCAGCAGCCTGAGACTAAGGGAAATTCAAGGACTCACTCAAGGTCACAGAACCAGTTTTCTCATTCAGTTAGTCAGAGAAGGGCTGGGATGCTGAGTTTCTCCAGTTGTGTGTGTGTGTCATTTTGATTTTTTTTAAGTGTCTCAATGTGTCTCTCCCTTCTAGACATTAGATATACCCTTGATTAAGAAACTGGGCCAATGAAATGGCTCTGTAGGAAAAGACACTTGCCATGCAACCCTGGTAATCTCAGTTCAATCCTTAATCCTGTGGTGGAAGGATAGAAGTGACTCATGAAAGTTGTCCTAGACCTTCCAAATGTCGTGGCATTCATGCACCTTTGTAGGTACAGATGTAGGTACACATGTGCACACACACCATATACACAATAACAATAACAATAAAATAGGCTTCTAAAAGGAAAAAATAATTCATATTTGCTGGAAAGTTGGAAGATGCCTGGGGACAAGCCCTTATTGCTTTATTTGAATATGATTTCTAATGCAAGATTAGGTTGTTTCCTAGGAAGACTTACAGTGACAGAAGTCAGTAGCAGTGGGATACATGTTCACTTCCACAACAGTGCTATCATGAGACACCGAAGGGGACAGACTTTAAAACAAACTAGTGAAACCAACTTCCTACACATATGCACATCCAAAGAAGTGATCAATTCTACTGGAGGCTGCATACCTTGCTTGCAAGTTGCTCACCTCTGGCACATCACAGAGACTGAATAAATGACAAGTCTCAAGTACCTGAGCCAGGACTTTACTGGAAGTCTACCTTTGCACATACCAACCCGTATGAACACTAACACACACACACACACACACACACACACACACAGAGCACAATTAGCTTTAAAGTATTAGTTTTGACCCTAAATAATATGATCAAACACAAACTGCCCAGTTCATTTCCTGTACTTGGCTCTGATAATGCAAAACCCTAAAAATTATTACCCTTAAAGGATGATACTTTCCTTGCTATTAGCGAAGTTATTTTTTTGGCAAGGATGGCTTTGGTACCCTGATTATGGAATTTCCTCTTCCAGACAGTGGACATGAACTGCATGAATTGTTCCAGGCTGGGTATTCGTTTTAGCCTAACACCTAGCCTGCCTAACAAGCAGTGGTACTTATAATGCACACACATATGCATGTAGATGCTTAGCAAGAATTAGCCACAGCTGCCTTTAGTATCTGCCTCACCTGAGGCATCTGAGGATCATTGATGTCCCAGGAGAGTGTCATCCCATAGGAAAGCACAGGGTCTGAGTCCTGTCTGGTGTCTGTTGGCATCTGCAGGGTCCCTCCAGCACTCACAAACCAGGATCTTTGAAAGAGAAATATAAACAAGACGTGTACAGGATAAAGGGGGGGAAGAGAGAGAGAGAAGAGAGAGAGAGAGAGAGAGAGAGAGAGAGAGAGAGAGAGAATGAATTTAGAGCTAAAGTTTAGAGGCTGAACCAAACCTGGAGCCTTGTCCTCCACTGCAGTGCTGAAAGGTGTCCCTCTGAATTTCAGTTGGGACAAGCTGGTTTATACAGATCCACCCCTTCCGCTCTGCCTTTCTGGGCGCCTGCTCCAGCAGCGGCAAGGGTCACCCCCGCCTGGTCAGAGCGTGGAATGCAGAGGAAAATTAAAGTGGACCCGAAGCTAAGAGAGACCGAAGCCAAGTTGGAGGTGGGAAGCAGGTAGAAGGTTGCATTTATGGAAAATCGAAAAGCAATGCTTAGTTTTCAACTATACCTGAGGTTCTGGAGATGGCTTAGAAAGCCTTAGGTTGAGGTTTCAGAAGCAGAATTTCCAGCAAAGTCTGAGGAGACCGGCGCTCAGTCCCAGCCGGGCCCACGTCTCAGCTCAGGGGCCGCTCACCTGGGTTCAGGGCTCTGGCTGTAGCCTCCACTCCGTTCCTCAAGCCAAAGCCTGTGTTCTGTGATTTGAGACGTTGGCGACTGCGCCAAACATTCTGGTAAGTTTGTCCGCCTAGGCGCACCCAGCTTCCGCACGCTGAGGACAGACTTGACCTAGGGAAGTGTCCCGGAAAGTGAATCTGGAGGTGGCGGCCAGATGACCCTGAGAGAGGTGGAGAGGGTGGGAAGACCAGAGCTGGCTGGGAACTGCAAGTCCAAAGATTTGCGCTCCCGCTCTCCCTCTCCCTCCTCTCTTTCCTTCCTCCCCCTCTCTGCCCTTCATCCTATGGCCCTCTCTTCTCTCCCTCTTTCCATCCCTCCCTCTCTCCCCATCCCTTGATCTCACCTTCACTTCTCTCCTTCCCCTCCTTGAGCATTTTTATCAATTAAATAAGATACTGGGGTTCCGCCATCTCTCCATTGCCACCCACTGAACACAAATCTGAGAAGCAAACTGTAAGCCTGGTACTACCCAGATGGCACCAGCCTTCCCAGCTACAGAGAATCCTGGCCGGGGAGGATGTGGGGTTTCCCTGTGCCGAAGGGCTCCAGGCTAAACCTATTTCACCACCCCACTCCTTCTGGCCATTCCTGCACCAAGACACACTCAATGTAAGAAAGTCACAAACATGACTCCCTGGTTGAATCCTGGACTGTGGATTCAACAGTCCAGCACTGTTTTGCAGCTGACAACATACATACATGCATACATACATACATACACACACATATATTTAACAAGTGACCACTCAATACACTTCACTGTTTAATGGGGATGCTAGCAACTCATGTCTGTTCTGGCTGCAGACACCACTGGTCTCGGATTCAACTGTGTGCAGCCCCCAGGCTACCCGAGACGAGCGCCCAGGCCAGCAGCAAACCTTCGCAGGTTTTAAGTCATGACTTGTGTGAAAGGACTCTATGGGCTCCCAGGCTCCTACCTCCCAGTCAAGAACGTGCTTAGAAAAGTCAGTGCGATGGCAAGTCAGATTCTCAGCAGCCAGCCACCTGCAAGGGACCAGCCTGGGAGAAAGGGGGAAGGGGGGCGGTGGGAGAAAGGGGCTGCGGTGGAAGTGGCAGTTCCTTGGACCTCTTCCTCCAGCTCGTAGCTGACTCAGTCCTTCACCTACATACGAAAAGGTAGGAGAAAGTGACTGATTGGTCACTAAAGCATCTTACCTAAAGTTCTCTTCCAAAGGGTTTCTGATTAAAGCCTCTCCCAGAGGGTGAACATTGAAGCCTCGGTGGGGTCTAAGGTGTGTCTCCACTCCCCCCATCACCCTTCAAGACTGCTAAAGTTCAGGCAACTCCTAACACTCAGTTGCTTGTGGGGTCCCTGCCTTTCAAAATTAGATTAAAATTACTGGATATTTTAAAATAAATATATATCTTATCAAATGTGATAAGACAATGTGTGATTTTGAAGGTTTTAAAATATTTTATTTACAAATTTGAATTATTTTAAGTGTATGAGTATATTGCCTGCATGTATGTAAGTGCACCTTTGCTATACAGTGCCCCAGGAGGTCAGAAGAGGGTAGAAATGGAATTACAGATGGTTGTTAACTGCCATGTGGGTGCTTGGGATCAAACCCAGGCCCTCTGCAAAAGCAGCCGGTGCTCTTAACCACTGAGCCATCTCTCCAGCCCTGGTTTTGAATGTTTTAAAAATAACTTCAAAAATAATCATTTAACATGACTTCTGAAGATGCTTAAAGATTAATTTCCTGCCTTACCAAAAACACTGTTAGAATGTTTCTTGGCTCTGTGCTTCTGAGCAGACCTACAGAGTTAATCCTTCAAAAACATAAACAATGGACAGATGAGACAGCTCAGGGGGTAGGAGCCCTGCTGCACAAGCCTGAAGACCTGACTTAGATTCCACAGACTATGGACAGAATTCCTTAAAGTGTCCTCTGACCTCTACTGCACCAGCTCACACACAAATGAACCTTTAAATGTTAAGGGCATATTAGTTAATTTTGGAATGGATTATGGTATTAAAAAAATCATTAACCTCCACAATATTTAGCTAGGGGTAGTGGTGTTAGCCTATAATCTCAGTACTTTTGGAGGTGGAAGCAGAAGAATCAAAGGTTTGAGGTCGTAACCAGTTACTTGTGACCCTGTCTGGGAAAATAAAACAACAAAACGGAATTTAGTTTGTGAAGATTTAGACTGCATATTTCTGGCTGTTCTAAAATTACACGTGGGCAAAATATACTAGTAAATGCTAGGTGTGCTGGCACGTGCCTTAGATTCCAGTACTTGGAAGGTAGAGGCAGGAGGATTGTTGTGAGATCAAGGCCAGTCTGTTCTACATAGTGAGTTCCAGGACAGCTAGGGCTACAGGGAGACCCTGTCTCAACAACTCTCCCAAATATATTAGTAAAAGAAACTAATCAAAGTGAAAATATAATAAATGGTATTGATGTCTACTTTATTGCTTTTAACAACTTTTTTAAAAAATATGTTTTATTTATTATTTTTATTTTATGTTTATGCATGTATTGCCTGCATGTAGGTAAGTGCACCCGTGTTGTGCAATGCCCACGGAGGACAGAAGTGGCTGTTGGATCCCCTGGAACTGGAGTTATGGACAGTTGTTAGCTGCCATGTGGGTGCTGGGATTCAAACCCGGCTTCTGCAAGAACAACCAATGTTCTTAACTGCTGAGCCATCTCTCCAGCTCCACTTTTAATAACTTATAAAGATGGAATGCATTGCCTCTGTGGGACTTGAAATACACATTGTCCCAAATATGAAAATAACTGTGAGGTTTCCTATCTAGTATCAACAAAACGTTAATTTTTATTTTCTAAAATAAAATAAATTTAATTGTATTTTGATCACTGCATTAAAAAAAACATGCTTTCTTTCCTACCCGGGTATTTGCATGGACTCAAAATACCTTATGTTCATGTCTGTCCCTGTCTGGATTACTAGTTTAATATATAAGGGTCTATCAATCCAAGAAAAGAGCAAGTCTGTGAATTTCCTAGGACTATATTAGAGTAAAGGAATTACAGTATATTTGCATCCCATTTCCCAGGAAGCTGGAATGTGAAGCATTGCTCAGAGAGGCTGTACATACTTGCAAGTTCAGGCTTACTAACCGGGATTCTAGTTTCATATGCTTTATGTTGGTATAGGCAGATGTCTTCTGTAAGCATCTGGACATAAAATATAACATCTAGGAATACAAGTCACAGTTTACACAAGGAATGTAGGGATTGGAGGGGGCATTCCGTTTACTTGTAATTTTTTACGGCTCTCTTTAGTGTGGGTGTAGTGCATATGAGGAGGTCAGACAATTTGCAGGAGTTGGTGTTCTTCGGGGGTCAGGGGACAATTTGCAGGAATTGGTGATCTTCAAAGGTCAGGGGACAATTTGCAGGAGTTGGTGATCGTCTACCATGTGGGTGCTGGGGATCAAACTCAGGTTCCCAGGCTAGGTTTTAGGCTAAGCTATCTCTCCTGCCCTGTTTTGCTTTCAAAGAAAACTCCCAGGTTTTTTTGTTTTGTTTTGTTTTGTTTTGCCACTGGGGGTGGGGGGTGGTTGGTTATATAAAAGATTTCCTACAAAAGGCAACCTGCCATTAGCACACATATTTAGCTTGATAGTAGTGGTTGGAAACCAAGCTTAAAAAAAAGTCCCTCTCCCAGGGAGCTGAAGGCTGTAATCTCAGCACTGTGGTGTGTGTGTGTGTGTGTGTGTGTGTGTGTGTGTGTGTGTGTGTGTGTGTGTGTGTGTCTGTTGGGGGTGGGGTTGAGGCAAAAGGATTAACATTAGTTTGAGGACAGCCTGTGCTACATAGTGAGCCAAAAATAAGTACATGGGGGAAAAAAAGTCCCTCTTTCTCCGGCTAAGGGACCAAATAATACTTTATTTTATGGTATCAGGATTGTATTGGGGTCCAAGGCTGATTCCCATGGGGAAGAGTTCAGTAAGATTTTGTTTCCAAACAGAATTTCCCAGTTCCTCTTCCCCAAGGGCTTTGGTCAAAACATCAGCAAAGAGCCTGGTGTGGTGACTCACACCTGTAATCCCAGCACCTAAGAATTCAAGACCAGTTTAGGCTACAGAATGAGTTCCCGGTCTGTCTGGGTTGCAGAGTGAGACTGTGTCAACACAACAACAACACAACACAACACACACCACAGTCAGTGGCCCAGGCTAGTAACTTGATCTGTTTCCAGAGGCCAGTAAACTACACTGGCAAGGGGCTAGGCTAAGGGCTCCGAGTTTATGCGAAGAACTTTAAAAAAGTTGCGACTACTTTTCTGCGGGAGTGCGCGCGCCCGCGTGACCTCCTGGATTTGTAGCTGAAGGCGTGCTGGAATCTCAAACACCGGAGACTAGTTGATTTCAGGATCAGGTTCATCCAATTGGAGCTCCTGGAGAAGCTTCAAATCCTAGAGCCACCTGTGGCTCAGAGCCTGCGGCGGGGATCTCCGGCGAGACAGCGAAGTGGGGAGGCCGCCCGGCGGGACTGAACTGTGCGAATCCCGGGCGCAGTGTGGCCCGGAGCCTCGGGATGCCGGCGGTGAGTGATGCCGGGCTGGCGTTCTCCCCGCTAGCTGGGTTTCCCTGGAGATGAACGACAGTTTTCAGGAAGAGAGAGAAACAACTGAGCTCTGGTCCGCAGCTCTAAAAGCGTGCAGGGAAGGGGAAACCGGGTGCCTGGGAAGGTTCCTTTCAAGATGGTCCTTGTATTTCCTTGTCGTCCGCATCCCAGTCTAGAGAATCCAACTGACAGCAAGGGACGTGCCTACAGTCCCGGAGACCACCCCGGCCGTGGTACCCGCTTTTCAGCTTTCATTTAGCAATCATTGAGTAATCTGTTGGTGAAAAAAATAAGCAAGTCTAGATAATAACTGGTTTTCTGTGTTTCTTATTTACACATAATGACGATAATAATATTGTAAAATACATTGACATTTTAGGGATTTTGGTTAAGTTCATAGGCATAGGAAGTAGATTCGCCTGAAGTAGATTTTGTTTTGCTGTGTTTGAGACACGGTCTCCAATAACCCAAGTTGGCCTCGGATTGTGTGTAGTGGAGGGTAACCTTGAATTCTTGATCTGCCTCCCAACTGCTGGGGCAGCAACCGCTGCCAGCTCCAAGTGATTTCAAAAGAGCCACTTAAGGGACAGGAGAGACGGCTCAGCGGTTAAGAGCACTTAGTGCTCTTGCAGAGGACCTGGGTTCGGTTTCCAGCACCCACGTGGCCATAACTCTAGTTCCAGGGGATCCGACGCCCTCTTCTGGCTCCGTGGACATTGCAGGCAAAACATTCATACACATACAGTAAAAATAAATTCCAGAAAATTTAAAAACAGCGATTTAAAGAGACTTATAAATATCTTGTGTGCACTGTATGTTTCCATGAAATTACTGGGAGCAGTGGAGGAAATATTATTTAATGCTGTTATTTAATGTGGCTAAATTTTATGTCACAAATATAGACATTTTGAATCTGATTTCATTTTACAGGGTCTCATTTTGGAAAAATACTTCATGAATTTCAAACCCTTCTGTTTTACAGTCCCCTCTATAGATTTAAGATTATTGTACATAGCCATTTATTCAAATGATGTTTGCTTTGCCTCTTGTGATAGGTTGTATTATGTTTATCACAGACTGTACTAAAGGAAACCATACAGTTTTTTTTAAATACCGTCTTACATGATCTATAATCAGTGACATGCACGTAAAAATTCTATTCAGTAAAGCAGTATGTATATATTTTAGAACTTGAAGTGTATTTAACACTTAAAAAATAACATCTTTTTATTTCACACAGAAAAAAAGAAGTTCTTTGCCATCTGTTAAAGAAGATACTCAGATTGACAAGGCCCAGGGAGCTTTCTGGGTAATGATCAGGCTTATTTCTATTCCATACTTGGTGACTTGTTAGCACCATTGTTGCTTAAGCCTAGAGCAGAGAAATATTTATTCTCGAATCTTCCATACCCACTTACAAATATACCTGCCCAACTTCACCTCCAACTATCCCAGTGGAATCCTAGTGTAAATTATCCTGTGCCCTGAATTTTCCCATATGGAAGGGGACAGTACTGAGCAAAATAGATATAATGCCTGCCCTCAGGAGCTTAGACTGGTAGAGAACCAGAGCTACAGGTGCCCAACTGTGCCTGGAGCCTGGGAAGCAAAGAACAGGGTGTTGTAATACAGGATCAATGGAGGTATAAGGAGTCACTTGGCCTTAGATAAGGTGGTTCTGGAAGATCTACTGGAAAGGTGATATGTATCCAGACCTGAGGGGAATCAGCCCCATGGAGTGAACAACTGATATGGAGGAAAAGTCTAGATATGTAACTGCTGGTGTAAAGGCTGTGAGGTGAGGAAGCCCTTCACTTATTCTAGGACTCAGACCAAAGAGTCTGGCAGAATTTAGACTACTGTAGAGCCCTGTGTGCAGGGGAAGCCAGGACAAAGTTTTAAGCAGGCAGAAAAGCATGGGTTTTGAGTTAGAGAATCTGAGTGTGATTCCAAGGCAATGTCTGTCCAAAGATCACACAAGAAAGTCTGGACTAATGTGCAAGGATCCAAGACCAGTTTTAATCAATACAGACAATTGCATATTTATCAAGTTCCATCCTATGTAGATAATTAGTTTTATTTTTCTTCCCTATATTGCATTTCTGTCCCTTAATATGTGATCCCAGGCTTGAATGTTTTTGGTGGTTTAGTTTGCAATATTACTGAGTATATTTGCCTGTTTACCTATAATTGAAGCATATTTTCCCTAGGTCAAGGTTGTCCAACCCTAGGAGGATCCACAGGGCCTCTGAGAAACCCCCACAATGCTCCTGTTGCAGGCGACCCACCAACCCATGCGAAAAGCTCTTGACTGAAGTCAATGGAAATGCCCATTATTTTGTTAATCGATTGTCAATAGATGTATATTGATGTTTTGTAGTTTCAGGACTGATTTTCTTTTTGCATTTTACCCTGTATTACTTCATGCTGAATGATAATAGCTATATAGTTATAATTTTATATTTTCTAATTAAAATATTATTTGTAGTAATGAGGTTATAACAGAAGACCTTTCCCATGCTAGGCAAGTGTTCTAGCACTGAGCTATACCCCTAGCTCCAAAGTTACATTGATTTCTTTGGTGGTACTGGTGCTTGAACCTAGAGCCCTTCTTATGCTAGGCAAGTGCTGTACCACTGAGCTACATCTCCAGCCATCACAGAATTTTTGATCACATCACTAGTTTGAATGTTGCTATAACACAAATGTTCTTGGGGAAAATGATCAATTCACAAACCATTCCCTTTCCAGCTCCAGTCTCTTATTACTGATGCATTCCATGGTAAAGGATTTCAGATGCTAGAAGAGTATCTTCAGGAGAAAGTGAGCCACTTGCCTCAAAAATATAGCCATCCTCTACTGCACCATCTAGACAGATCAGTAAATAAGGCAAGTAACTTGGTTTGTGTGAGTATTGAAACAACAATGTATAATTATGTGTCAGAGTTTGAATTTACTGTGTTCTAATACCTAGGAGCTGGATCAAAAAGAATTTCAGCATGTTTCACTGCTGCTGAAATGTGTTCAGAGATTCTTCAACGATGACCTGGATGAAGATGAACCCTTGCTAATTCAGCAGGGACTGATCCAAAAGATAAGTGTTTTAACTATAGAAGACTTTGGGTAACTTAGAGATCTAGTGTAGGAGGCTGAGGGTGCTGGGCTGCAGTCCCCTGCCTAACATGCACAGGCCTGAGGTGGGGGTGGAGGTTGGAGGGCAACAAAGATTTAAAAAAAGCTGATATGAATCAATTGAATTTTTGCTTCCTTCGAAATCAAAGTTGAAAAGAACTTTGTGCCCATCCTTGTTGGTCCTTTGCAATCAAAAGTTAACTGCAACACATGTTGCTCGTGCTGAGCAATGTGCTTAGCTCCCCAGTGCCCTAACTAGTACAGATTACAGGAGGCATGGAGGAGGGAATAAAACGCCCAATGAATGGAGCAGGGTTAGCCTAAAGGTACTTTGGAACATAAGCTAATTACTAAGGGGCTATGGATTTGAATAGTCCCCAACTTGATTTTCCTGTTTAGGTCTTAGAAGGCTGTATTAGTTATTTTTCTTGTCGCTATGACAAAATACCTGGCAAAAACAAGAAGGGGACGGGTTTCCTTTGGCTTACACTTTGAGGGTTCAGCGCATCAGGATGGGAAAGTGTGAAGCAGCTGGTCACATTGCATCCACAGTCTGGAGGCAGAGAGATGAATGCTGGTGCTGTTTCCTTTCTCCTTTTATTCAGTCCAGGACCCCAGCCCATTAGATAGTGCCGATCACCTTTTGGGTGAGTCTTCCCTCTTCAGTTAAACATTTCTGGAAACACCCAAATGTGTGCCCAGATGTGTGCTTCTGTGATGATTTTAATTCCAGTTGACACTAAAGTTCAACCACTACAGATGTTCTTCCAATGTGTAAAAATGGGTCACATCAAGTTCCTACTGGGTTTTGAAAGAGGAACTTCCACATCCCATCCATATGTCATAACCATCATCAGGCACCACTGCAGCATGTGTTTTCATGTAGGCTTGATCAGGTAGAACGGATGGACATTATCAAGGAGAAAGGAATACTAGACTGTACATTGTAAAGCTGATTATTTTCAGCCTTAGCCTAGTATGCTTGGGAATTATTCTTTCCCCACAGAGTACGAATTTCCTGTAGAATGTATTTAGTCCTTTACCCTAAGATTCCAGAGGATTCAGCACCATATCCTTAAGTCATTGCTATTGTGAATGATGACACAACTATGGGCACCTGGTAGAGGATGTACCACCAGGGCATATGAAAGGCCTCAGGGAGTACTACTTATTTCTGAGCATTGATCAACTAATGCAGCATTCTCCACACTTCTCCATATCTCTATTCAACAAATATTTTGGGGGTGGGCCTGGGAGGAGGGAGATGGGTTTTGGGAAGAATACATGGAATCATAGCAGTGTATTTAAAAACAGAGATTGTTGAAAATGAATGAAGGAGAAAGGAAATAGAGCATTAGCCAAGAGTTTCCATGCAGAGAAGACCATTCCTTCCCAAGGGCTGATGATTTCATCTAATACAAGTCTGAACATAGCTTGAGATGAGAAGAAACATTACTTGGATCATAATAGCAGCTCCAGGTCTTTAAGGTACATCACCATCACCTGGCCCCAATGCAGGAATTCTGATTTCCTGGGACTGGAATGGGTCCCGGACATCAGGGGGAGTGGATCAGCTGAGAACTGGTTGGCTCATTGGCTCATCACATGCTTCAGCTGGGCTCTCAGGTGTTTGGTTTAAATTATTTAAGGTTTGTTGTTGTTGTTTGACAGGCTTTTGCTGTGTAGCCCAGGCTGACCTTGAACTCACTATGTAGCCCACATTGACCGTAAACTCTCTGCAATCATCTTACCTTAGTCTCCCAACTTGTGGGAATATTCATGTATCACTAGGCACAACTTCTTTTTTGCTCTACTAGGCAAGGGTTGTACCACTGGTCTGGATCTCCAACCCAAATTGCACATAGTTCTGAAAGCCCCACTCCTAATGGAGTTGTCCATCAAAACCTCGTGGTACAAATGCCGTTTAGTTATCATTTCTGACTTTATGTGCGGGACTTGTCTCCTTTTCCCTTTTGTTCTCATGACTGGCGACTGAACCCAGGGCATTGTATTGTTGGGCAGGTACTCTACCACTAAGCCACATCCCCAGCCCTGTTTATTTTTATTTTTTTAACCCCAGCCCTGATCCAAAGATGGCCTTCGCTTTACTGAATAAATCTTTTTCAAGAAGTATTACAGAATTTTATTTCCAGCCATACGAAGGAGCATAACATGAAATTGGATGTGAATTTCTATAGAAAAATACCTCTAATTAGACTGAAGAGTTTGAAAGGGGCATATTTCCTGTGACCAGAAGCTTCTGAAGCTCATCTTTTGTGTCGTTTTTGTGGCAGGATCTCTGTAGCCTAGGCTAGCCTTAAACTCACAGCAGTCCTCTGGCCTTATTCTGCAAGTGCTAGGATTTGAGGCATGATTTACCATGCCTGGCATCATCTTTTTTGATAGTTTGTTTCCTAATAGCTTGCTTCTCAGCAACAGGATTTTCCCTATGATAGGTGGATTCCATTCTCCTTAAACTTTCCTCCCCAGCCCCGTTATGTGCTGTTCTGGCATCAATCAAATGTCCCATTTTTTGCTGATAGACGAGACTTTATTTATTGTAATTCTGCAGCATTTGAGTTCATTCTGACTTTCTCTCTAAAGATGAGAGGCCAAACTGGAATATTATGTGTGGGAAAATGGCTTCTAGATGATTATCTCTGGTGGGAAAACTATCTTGTAAATCTTGTGGAGTAGTCAGGACTAAGTCCCATGTGGTTCCATCAGTGTCTCTTCTCTTGTGTACATGGTTTCCTGGTTTGCAACAACAATGGGATTTCTGACCACTGAAGTCCTAGCCTTGGATACAACACTAATCAATGCCATCGAAGACTTTTTTGATACTGCACTGGTAAGGATGGAGGGAGGTATTTCAAGGGGTGATGCCCTCAGTAAGGGGTGGGACTCTTCAAGTAATCTGTAAAACTTCCTTTTGTTTTATGACTTTTTAATAAGAAGAGACTTTAAAAAGACTGTCATATTTTATGATTAGATTATCATTTGAAATCATAGCCGATAATATATGCCACCAACAGTAAAGGAAACTGAGGAGTCTTTTATACATTCAAATATGATACTCATCTGACAGTGGCGATATGCTCATTTTAATAAAGTGGTTGAAATTTTATTAGGCTCCTAATAGATTCCTCTATATCCATATTCTATTCTAGTCTATTAGAGAATACTAACATTCATGCATTAATGTTGTATTGGAGTCCATAATGCTATTTTAAAATAATAAGCTGTACTTTTCCTTCTTTTCTATTAGATCATTTCCAGACGTAGCAGTAAAGGTAGGTGTATCAGTGGTCACCAATTGCCTATCAATTTTTTATTAATAGACTATTTTGTCCCAGAGAATGTTCTAGTGACATTCAAGGGTTACGTGGGTTTAAACACATCTGGATTTATCTACCACTTTACATAGTCCTCTTGTGAGGCTGGAAGGCATTTTGCTGTGAAGCAGGTCTCAGTTTTCTGAGCTGCTTTGTTTGTAAGTGGCTCTTGTCACCATTAGAGCTAACTTTCTTCTGACAGTGGAAAACCACTTCTGTCATTCCAAAGCTGCAGAGGTTTAGCCCAATGGTCTGGATGCAGTTTGTCCCCCAGGTGCATGTTCTAGAGGCCTAATGGGGCTATGCTGAGAGGTGGTGGATCTTAAGAAGTAGGTACCAATGCAAGAGAGTTAGGTCACCAGGGCACAGCTCTTGTAGAGGGATGACACAGAGGCTAGGCTAGTTCTCAGGAGAATGAGTTACTGTAAGGAGAGTTTGGCTGTTGCCTTTTGCTCTTCTGCTTTCTGCCTTTCCATGTGACCTCTTCCACACCCATGTTCCTGCTGTTGTGATTCCATTCACCATGGGGTCCTCATTAGAACTGGGTTGAATCTGGTGCCATGCTTTTGAGCCTCTAGAATAGTGAACTAAATCATTCTCTTTTCTTTGTAAAGTATCCAGCTTCAGATGTTTGGTTATAACAACAGAAAATTGCCTGAGATACAGACCAGGAAATGTTTAGCTACTACTGATTTAACTCTGAGCAGAAGATGATATCTTTGTCTTTCCAAAGTATATAAGGTAAAATTTTGGGAAAGTGAGGTTTTGTTTAATTTAGTGCTCATCAAAGAATAATTTGGTATTTTTAATTATATCGTGTATAAAGTTGCATTTAATAATATTTGAACATTTCAGAACTCATGGCCATTGGACTGATTAGTTTTTGTCAACTGGACACAAACTAGAGTCATCTGGGAAGAGGGAACCTCAATTTGAGGATCTGCTTCCAATAGACTGGCCTGTGGGCGTGTCTGTAGGGCATTTTCTTGATTGCTAATTGATGTAGGAGGGTCTAGTCCACTGTGGGCAGGCAGTCCCATCTCTGGACACGGAAAGCTGATCAAGCCAGTGAGCAGCATTTCTTCAGGATCTCGGCTTCAGTTCCTGCATCCAGGTTTCTACCTTGAGCTCCAGCCCTGGTTTCATCTGATGTTGGACTGTAACCCTATAAGCTGACATAAACCCTGTCCTTCCTCAAGTTGGTTTTGGTCCCGGTGTTTTATTACAGGAACAGAAATCAAACTAGGGGAGCAATCATTTTATATATACATATATATTTATACATGTGCACACACACGTGTGTGTATGTATGTATATGTATATATTATTTCCTGAGATCTCTATTTTTCTTATTTATTTAGGTCTTTAAAAAAATTATTTATTTAATAACCACATACTTAAAAGAAGCATTTCATTACAACAGCATTGACATATTCAATAACAATTTCCAGAGCTAAGATGCATCTCTT